TCTAAGTTACCCTATTTACTAGAAGAAATACTACATGCAGAACCAATGTCCCAAAATACATACTGTATGAAGAAGCTTGCTTCGATGACAAAACACACTTTAAACTTATCAATGTCCAGTAGACTTCACATTTGAATAAGTAATTTATGATTTTTGTCAGAAAAAGGTAGAAAAGTAACACAATTCAGTTGTACTAAACTGCCCTTAAGCATGAAGAATTTAGGGTTTGTGGCTCTTTTCCACATACGTATCGATAAGATGCCATGCTAACACTGCTGTGACATGTTAAGCAATTTGTTGGGACAAAGGCAAATATAAAAAAAAACATGATGATGATAATAATGATAATAATAAAAGCTGTATTACTACATGCATTATAAAGGAAAACAACCATGATGTCTGATCACTAAGAACAGAGCAAATACTGCCAACTTTGCTTACCAAATGAAATAAATAGGGGGGGAAAAAGAATCCCCAGATGTATAAACATTCACAGCTAGTGACTGAGGGTTGTAAAAAAAAAAACCAACAAGTTTTAACCACCTGTAAAAGCTCTTTGCCACAATAGCAGTTTCAATCACAAATTTCAGTCTACAGAAATGACTACACTCAAGAGCCAAACAAAAGGTCAACTTGCATCTACAGTACTGAGATGAATCAATGAGATGCTACCAAAAAACAAACAAAAAAAACAAACAAAAAACCCTTCTCATATTAAATTTAGTTGTCGGATGTTTTTGGGATATTTTAACTCTGATATTTAAACTGATGTGGCAGCTTGTTAATTAAAAACAGCCATTATGCAGAAATCTGAGAACACAGTATATATATATATATATATATATATATATATATATATATATATGTATATATGTATATATATATGTATATATATATATAAATATATATAAATCAGATCCTCAAAATAAGATTGAACCAAGTGCAGAAAAACGACTTTGCTGGTCTTCATCAATCTGTCCAAGTTCAGGGTGTTGCATTAGGAATGGCTGGTGTAATTGCATAACACATGACTATGGCCCCTGGGGTTAGATTTTCCATCTTGCACAAAGTGGAGACAAGGAAATAGGAAATGCTTCTACAATTGGTTGTAATTGTGACTGGCGGCACCAAGAATTGTGCTCTGCCTGACACTTGAGGTAGTATGGTGAAGTGCAGTTTGGCCTAAAGGATGAAAAAGAATGACATGCCGAGTTTAAATGAACTCCTTTTTGACGTTAGTGAAGATTCCTGTGTGTCTTTGACAAACTCTCTCTGGTACATGCTGCTCGTGTAAGATGACAGAAGGTTAATCAAGCTTTAAAGAATGAGATTACAACCAACATGACAAGCGGGATTGAATAGATTAGGCAAACTGAGTGAGAAAATAGCTAAGAAATCCTTTTATATACAGGTAAATACTAAAAATAAAAGTCTGTCAATCCCACAATTACATGCTAAACAAAAGTGCCTTAACAGTAGGACTTCTGTATTAACCCAAGGGATATATATAGTTTTATTTTTTAAACTTTATAAATGGAAATGTAAAAAAAAAAAAACTTTTCAGTTAACGAAACATGGGCATCTTGCCAATTAAAATAAACTTAAAATAATGGAGAGGTTTAAAGTCAATTTAGTTCAGTACTAAATATAAATCTATTTTTTTTTACACTGAAATGTACCAGAAAGAAAAATATAAAATGTAAGTAAATATATATTTTTCTCCTTCCAAGAGATGAGACAAGTCTGCTTCATATTCTATTCTAACTGAATTACAATCATTCACAAACACACACACACATAAAAACAAACAAATGGAACCCCCCCCACACACACACACCTAAGAAACAAAAACAAAACACAGAGTCAGCATGTTAAAAGAATTTTCTTCTCTCATCAGCTCAGACTAGAGAATCCATGCAGCTCTTTATCAAACCTGTCCTGTGCTTTATATCAATAAACGGGGAGCTGTTAGTGCACGAGACCTGCTGGTAGCTTTGCAGGGATGTTTACCAGGTACAAAAACAAACACAAAAAGGATTCAGCAAAGAGTCAGATGCACAATGCAAAGCAAAATACAACCATTAAACCTGTGGTTTTTTTTTTGATGTCTCAATTACAATGAAGAAAATGATCAAAGGAATGAGAGAAACCATCACGATATTGACTGAAATATAAACAGGAATTTGTAAGTAAAGATACATTATTTTAGTAATCCATCAACCCAGTTACATCATATGTCTAATGGGTTGCCAAACCTTTCAATTTTTCACTCAGTATTGTTTTGGTGATCCCCAAGTATGTAAGCTCAGTCCTCACCTCCTTCTACAGGTGTGCAGTGGAGAGCATCCTGTGCTCCAGCATCAACGTGTGGCATGGAGGCTGCACAGCTGCAGAAAGAAAAGCTTTGCAGAGAGTGGTGAAGGCTGCACAGAAGATGTTGGAGTCAGCCTCCCCACCATCACGTACATCTACAACTCCAGATGCAGGAAGATGGCATGCTGCATCATGAGGGACCCCACTCACCCAGCACACATACACACTTTTTGCCCCACTCCCCTCAGGCAGAAGGTTGAGGCACATTAAGTGTAGAACCACTAGACTGAGGAACAGCTTCTACCCTGAAGCTGTTACACTCATAAATCCCTAACCAAACAAATCACTAATGACACTTTAATTAGAGATTTATCACTTTATCTGCTGATCTGCTGTGCTGCTGATTACCCATGCTGCTGATTTCTTACTTTAAGCTGCTATATTCATACCCATCTGCTCACAACACTCATGTTCAGGCCACTGTTTAATACAACATATTATATTATATTACTATTGTTCAGCATATATCTTAGATCTTTATATACTGTTTCTTTTTTACAGTTTATATTTTTGCTCTGTTTGGGAGTAACTGGGACCTCAAGTACACAATTTTGTTCCACCTCATGTACCACATGTGATGCGAATGACAATAAAGAAACCTTGAAGGCAGCTCAACAATTTTACCTTTACCAATAATTTAGACTAAAGTGAATTTCACTCTTAAGTACAATGTTCAATGTTGACATCTTTTTAGCCAGTGAGTACTTTGGTGGTGTGTTCTATACAGATATAATTACATGTACAGAAACATTTATTTCTAAGCCACAACATGCAAACTTAGCTTAAAGCTATTTAAAAATAAATTAAATAAATAAAACTTTCTCACAAAATTATTTTAAATCAGTCTGCTAGTAAACAATTGAATTGACCTTAAAAGACTGATGGCTAAACACAAATTTGTGAAATTACAATAACAGTGTTTCTATTTGAAAGTAAGCCCTGAAATTAGATGTGATCTTTTTTAGTCCACATATTTTTTTTGCATTCAATGTTGTTTTTCTTTTTTTTTTTGTTTCAGTGTACCTGCTATTCCTCCCCATCTGTCTACCTAATTATCCTTCCTCCGATGGTGTCCTCTCCAGGACCCATGAAGCCTACCAGAGGATTTGTCACTTCAAGCCAAGAAGGCCTTACATTAACTGCCAAAGCCTTTGTCAGCCGTTGGTTGTGGAATACATGATTCAACAGTGCTAGTCTTAAGGTTTATGAGTAAAAACCACAAACTTCACTCTGAATTTCCAATGTGGACAGCTGAGGAACCAGCTGCTCAGCTCCCATCTAACATGTTTGATACCAGAGCTGCTCAGAAAACCGAGTCTCCCATCACAGTGATGACGTGCCATCAGTTTTATAATCAGATGTTAATTTGTCAAAGTCTACGTCTTGAATAAACAAAACAAACAAAACAAAAAACAAAGTTTTTTACGTGTCAATTACTTTTCTTTCGTTCAAGACTCACAGCATCACACTCTTAATTCATTTACTTGAACATGCATAATATAAATAAAACGTGCAAAGTGTGTAAGTTTCATAAAATATAAATAAATAAACAAGTATATATATATAATGTAATTTACTCCACACAAATATGAAAAAAACAAACAAACAAGCCGTGATTGACTAAAGCCGTAAGGTAAAAAATAAATAAAAAAATCAGCTCAGCAAAATAGTTGTAAAATAATAATTCATAACAGGAAGTGACATCATTATGATAATGCAAGCAAACAGAAATGAACAACAACAACAAAAAACAAACAGATGACCGCTATAGCTGTTTTACAATACAGAACATGTGCTGAGAAAATCTGTTCCACACCTGTAAGGACTGGAAGGAATAATTTTTACCAGATTTAACATTTAAAATTAGTGAATAACAATGACAGCTTAGACAAGATGGACTTGACACCTGTCTGGGGTGTACCCTGCCTCTTGGATAAAAAGGTTTGTGCACATATCTGTCAGATAAAATAATTCTTGGATCAGTATTCAGAAAACTTTCAGAAAATATTCATTGTATGTAGATCTACAACTATATACGTTTTGGAGCCAACCCATTTCAACATAGATACAACAGCAAACTGATATTTGCATCAATATCGACAAAAATGGCTACAACTCAGTCAGTTATACAGACAATAAGGATCATTCATAACACATACACTGAGGGCGACTTTGAAAAAAAATTGAATATTGCAGCCCAAGCAGTCCTTTGCAAAACTGTTATTGTGTTCACTGATATATATATATATATATATATATATATATATATATATATATATATATATATAATTTGCGTATTAGACAGGCCCAATGGTAACAAGTCACTGGAAAACAGTTTTAGTGTATAGTTATCGTCATATCTTAACGTGTTTCAGTTTCATCCACTTTGCATTTTAAAATTTGCTTCATAAAACACAGCTCTTTCACTATATATATATATATATATGCATACATTTAATATGCCTTTAAAATGTAATTTTTAAAATTCAGCACATGGTCCTACATTGTTTTTCACCAGCTCAGCTTAAAAGAGTTCAGACAGAAAAGAACAATGACTTATGCAGGCAGAAGCGGTGCAGTGTAAAGCAACATGGTGTTAGGTTAAAAGGTAGATAAACAAAACACACCTAAAGTTCTGTTACCATAGTTTGCACCCGGCCACCGAGAGGATGGACTGGAAGGGCTTTGATCACCTGTAACAATAATGGCAATAAAAAAAGAAGAAGGCAAGGAAAGGAAGATGAACATGAAAAAAATGCATCAGAAATGACACATTTGAGAAATTGGCAGAAATGCTCCCAGAGAAAGAAATTCCATATATCTACTTTTAAATACAGTGATCAAAGCTCACAGTAAAACAATAGGCTGCTTAAGCATAATGCGGATGAATTATAGGTATTAAAACATAAAAGAGAAGCGATAGTTGTTATTTAGCTGGAATACTTTTTTTCAGTCATGGTAAATACATACTTTTAATCGAAATTACTGTGCATGTTTTTATACAGTCTCCAGTATAACAGCTGAAATATGATGGACAATTTAAACAAATTTTTGTTACTGAGGACATTTAAACTGCTAATCTCTGCTGTTTATGTGAAAAGTTATGGTTGATAAAATAGTACTTAGCAAAGGACTATTTTGCATAAAAGTTTAGAAGCAAATTGAAGAAAAAAAATTCTCTAAACAAATGTACCTTCATAAAATAAAAACTAAAATTAGAATGCCTTGAAAAAAATATACATGACTGAAAACTTAGACATTAAGTGACTCAGGGAGGTTAGGAAAGTTATAAAGCATCTGCTCAAAATTATTTGGATCTGACCAAAAACAACAATAGTGTGATAGATTACCTATCAGTGTAAGTTGCAAAACTAAATAATAAAACAAAACTTTTATAGGTAGAATATCTGTTCTCTACAATAATAGATTTGAGAAAATGTAAAATAAATAAATAAAAAATCTAATTAAAACCATGGTTTTGACGTTTAATCGTTAAACTTGCTTTTAGTGCAATGAACACAACTTTTGTTGCTGATTTTCTACAGTGAATGCCTGTTTTGACCAAAATATTGCATAATCAAATAATAAATAATACATAAATAAAGTGCTATGTTGTCATCATTGTATGTTCCCATGTAAAGACGAAGTGGCTCTCTGCATTTAACCTATCGCACCTGGGATACACCCAGGTGGAGCAGTGGGCAGCTATGTAAGCGCTCGGGGAAGGCACCAATAATGAAACAAAAGGTACTAGTTTGACAAAACATGTATGAAATGAGACATTAAACACCACATTAGGTCCTAACTGCATATTGAAAACTTCCTAACTATTTCAAATTAAGTCCCCTTCTGAAGTTAATTGGATATAAACACTGCTATTGTTAGCACTGTTTTTGTTTAGTCCATCCCCATAGTGTTTAGCATGCATCTTGCACTTCTGAATAAAAACAATTCACAATATCCACTGATCCTGATCCCCCTCATTTTCTTTTATTGTGCTTGCCAGTATGGAGATGGCAGCACCTGTGGCTCATAAGCAGAACTTTAACCTGCAAATCATTGACCCTCCCTCTTCTGCAAGGTGCTACTCCCCTGGGCATGGCCTAACCATCATGGCAGAATGGAGCGCTTTAACACCAAGGTTACACTAAATCAACTTTGATCACTGAGCAATTTTACATACAGTACATATTTTTATTTGTAATTTTATTAGGACATTCATTTAATTGTTTTTGTGCATTTTGCTCAGTTTAAACAGATGCTAATTGATCCTTAAAGTGGGCTCAAGTACAAACGTGAGCTTTTTTTTGTATGATAGAAATAAAACTGCACTTTCTATGAAACGAAAGATCACTATTAACAGTTGTTTGGCAGGAAAGAAAAAAATAATTAACAAAAAAAATGAAACTCTGGCACATAAAGATTTTATTTTCTTCGGCCTACCGTTGCGTGGTGTCCGTTTTCGACGATCACGGAAAGCTGCTCCAGACTGTAGAGCTTCCATTAGGCTATCCATCACACCAGTTTCATCTCCTTCTGTAAAAACAAACAAACAAACAAAAAAAGTTAGTAAGACAAACACTACAACTAGTATCAGAAAGTACAAATAAACTAACAAACAAAAACCCAACAACAACAAAAAACAAGATCTTTATGTGAATGCTATTCATTTGTAATTCCTCTTGCATGCCTTATCTAATGTCCGGTCATAGCAGTTGCACCCAAGAAAATGTTTTGACCCTGACTATGCCTAAAACAGTAACTGCAGCTATAGTAGTGTTGATGGAGAGACCTGCCACTCAGGTCTGGCCTTTTTTTTTTGGTAAACAGCTAGAGCAGAGTAAAATACACTTAGCTTTGGTTAGAGTTTAGCAGAGAGGAGCCTCAGGATAAAAGCATTCAGTGATGGTCATTGACAGATATTCTTTCTGTGGCTAACGCAGGGGAGCTAAGTGCTCTTTACAAAGATTTAGTGTGGAGCCAGTCAATACCCGGGCGCTCTATCATTGTTCAGTCAATGACACAGGGACTGGCCTCCGAAAAACACTCCCCTTGCCCACCATTCCACATGGCCTGTGGATCCATGAAACCAAAGAAGTGAAGGCAGTAGCCGAAGAAAGTACTGTAAGACCAACAGCACGTCTAGCTGTAGCCACAGTGCACAGATGCAGCACAGCTCAGTAGTTACAGAGTTCGAAAATAAGCTTAGCTTCCATATCTGGGTCATCTATCTTTACGCCCTAATACTAATGAGTTAGAGGGACAACCTTTTTATCATTCTGGTCTAGAGCAGACATTTTTCTACACTTGGATCATTAGGATGAGTTATTGAAGACTTGAAGATTTGGCAATCAATTCTTTTGTATGTATGAGTAAACTAACTCTTCCCCATTGTTTACCATCTTGTTGTTGCAACGGGTTTACGGCTTAAGGGAAACTTTCAAAAATAAACTGAGACAACTGTGGAAAACACTGCATTTTACCAAGAACTGGGGCGATTCATCCTTTTGTACGGCTGCTTGCTCAACGTGACAACAGTGAGGTAAAATTGATCTCTGAATAAAACACCTTGACATGGAATAGTAGATTAATTTAATGAAACGGCACACATTTTGCCATTACCACAGAAAGTCAAGTATCTACAAGTTCCATTTCCTCCAGCAACTAACCACTGAGCCTACAATCACTCACACGTGTTAAAACAGTACAACCAAGAATAGAAACATGTCTTATGCAAATTTTAAAAAGCAACTTCTAAAACACACTCACTAATTTTACTCTCTATCTCGTTCTTTTTCTTTCTTCCTCAAGTCCTTCCCAAGGGCTACTTTGAAATCAAAGAAGCTGTGTGCTGTGCTTAAAAGCAATCCCGATTAAATCAAGCTTAATTAGACCAGCTTTATCTGAACAAAACCAGAGCTGAGCAAAGTAGTCCTTATCTCAAATTGCAGCACTACACCTCAAATAGTAAGCTCGTTGGTTTAAAAATGAAGAGCATGGGTTTCGTCTCCTGTGGACTCGAAGAACAATATGGTGAACAACTTACACTTCTGTAACTATATCAACTCCCCAGATCTTTAGCCACTACACTGTATGTAGGCTAGCAACAACAGATTGTGAGTAGGACAGAAGACAGAACATGTTAAGTGGCAGATAAACATTTGTCTGCAATAACTGTGCTACAGGAAACTTTCTGACAGCTCCTTCTTCATGTAGACCTGAACATCACAAGGGGCAACTGACACTTTGATCAATTTGTCCTACTTCTAACTTAACTCTAGCACAATTCATCATTTGTAATGGCCATGACTTGGGAGCCCTGGCAGGCTGGGGTTCAGGGGAAGGACTGGAAACAAAAAAGGAACCAAAATTACTAAAAGTGGAAGCAAACTCCCCAGTTTCTTCACAGACCTCAATTAACTATGTCCCAAGTTGTCTTCTAAAACTTAAACTAAAGCTAGAAACTCTTATAAGGAAGTATTTACAATATATAGAGTAATTTGCAAAATCATACAACATAATTATTTTAAATATACAAATGTTAAGATATCTCAAGTATTTATTGTGTAAATAAATCAAATCCTGTGATGGACTTGTGACTTATCCAGGGTGGCCCCTGCCTCTCACACGGTGATTGCTGGATATGGGTACCAATGACCCCCGCAACCCGAAAAGGAAGAAGCGGGTAAAGATAATGGATGGATGGATGAAGAAATTAAATTGGATGTTTTTAGGCCACATTTATAATAGTGATTCTCAAAGCAACATCCATAAATATTGTAACATTGATCTTTTTATAAGACATTTATGTTTTGCTCCTGTAATTCACTCGTCTTTTTTAAAGCCATCAAACCTTAAACAACTATTCCTCTTCTTCTCACTACTAACTGATGCACATTGCATGATGGGGATTTACAAAAAATGCTAACCTTTCATGCCCAGAGATCTTCCTCAAGAGGAAAGATCCCTATAGCTCACAGGAAATTGCTTTTTAAATGGGTTAAGATGGGCTAAGACCCAAGACATTGATAAACCCTTCCAGTGATGAAACACCTTGGTGGGCACCTTCAACCAACAGCCATGGGGTTCTTCAATGATCTTATTAAGGCTTATGGAGGTGTGGAACATAGTTTAGGCTTTTGACCATTTAGGCACTTACTCAAATAGTTAAATCATTAAGTGAAGAAGACGAAGAAGAAGAAAAAACTCCTAGGAAGTTTACCTCATGGAAAAATTGGATACAAGTTCCATATAATTTCTTCTGATCCCTTCAGCCTTACCCTTTTCAAACATCTTGCCTTTCTTTAAATGATTGCCTGATTGTACCTTGACCCAGAGGGCACGGTGAATGTAACTGTGAGTCCTGGGGATTGGCTTGGTCTGCAAATATATTTAATAATTACCTAATTAGGAGCTATCACAAGAGCAGTGTGCTTTCAACTGCATTGGCGTGAAAACATAACACATCATATTAGTTTATTTGCTGAAAAACAAGTTTTCAAAAAGCAGCTCTGATTTACCATTGTCCAATCCTAAGAGCTGAGCACTAGGTCAAACGTTGACAAGTGAAAATATGAACAGAATAAGCACAGACACTTTGTGTCACCACCAGGAAGGATAACTGTTTTTAAAAATGAACTTGTAGACAAAGTATGCAGAGGGATAGCACATTTAGGGCAGCAGAGGTGTAAAGTGAAGAGTTTCTATGGGTGTGGTGGGATGAGTGGGTAATAGGGAAGGAATAGCGGAGCAAGACAAGGTATGAGGTCATAAAACAGCTTGGATAGTAGACAACCTCAGCGCTGTGACATTTTGATAATACCAAAGCAAATATGGTAGTATGCAAGAACAGACACGTGTACCTTCTGCTGGAGTAAAGGGATATTTTAAGTTATATAAAAGCATGTTGCATACTGAAAGCATATTGGATCTTTGTTTCCAATCTGAATGTTCTGTGCAGAGTTTCAGCTGACATTTTTGTGAGTCATTTGACAAAGACATTATATTGACCGAAATGAATGACTCCTAGCAAGACAAGTTTTGAAAAAAAAAGTGCCACTGAAGCCTCCAAACATGACTTCTTAAATAAAAAACAAAAACAAAAAAAAAGTGCCAATATTTATTGCAAAACAACTTTAGGTAACCAGGAGCACTAACAAAAAAGAATAGTTGTCACCTCAGAAATAAGACAAAACTCTTTATTCAATCATCAAAAATGGGGAAAAACGCTACGGTATGCTGGCACTTGCTTTAAACACCAGGACATGGCATTCCTATAATTACACAGCAGTGTCAACAAAACCTCTTCATGAATTCAATTTGCTATCTGTCATCTCCTGTTTGTTTTTCTGTGGAGAAAAAAAACAACAGCTGATCGATTGAGAACTCAATTTCTGATGGCTTACATGCAGCCCCCATGATTCATGGGGAAAGAGACAAATACTTCTTCGAATTCTAAAAAGCTCTTGTCAAGTACACGAGTTTCTGATATAAAAGTAAACTACGGCATTCTTTATGTGACCAGTCCAAAGTAGTAATAACTATGACTAGTTACAAAAATTCAATACGTAAAAGTTATTTTTTATGGGCATGTGTTTTAATCAATCACAGCTGTACACAATTTCCTCTAAATGTATGTAATCATAGCATTGCCCCCTGAACAGGCTGATCAGGCATAAAAGAGATTACCCCCTACTTTCCACAAGCAAATTCTAGAGTCTAATTTGCTCTGTAATGAGAGCTAATGAAAGCTTACAGGCCTTGTGCTTGATAAATTAAAGCCACTGTGAGTGAGTAACACAGTGAGAGCTTAACCTCATCCCAGTCACCCTTCATGACTCCAGTAGAGAAGAAGAGAACAAAAAAGGGGGTTAGAGAGGAGAGGGATATTTCTCCTATTTTTTTTTTCCTGCTTGCTGCAGATTGTTTTTGAACACATTTGAGCCCATCTGTTCCCCTACAGACAGTCACCTGTGCAATTAACCTGGACCATTAGCCGTGAAACAAAGGCCTCAGTGGAAGGAGGGGGTGTTGCTTTATGGCCAGGTGGAGAGGCAGCAACTACACTTTCTTTTAATCTCAGATTCTCTCCCTGCTCTCACTTTCATGCACCTGGTTCTGTGTTATTTTCACACCTGAACTCAGTCTCAGCCACCTAGATATACACAACCACCTGCATTGCTCAACACCCCTGCTTTGTTTCCTGCTCACAAACTTTGAGATTTGAGCAGAGACATCATCCACTCATCCTCCTTCCTGCTGTCCCAGCAGCTCCTAAGACCTGAGCAGACAGACACCATTACTGCCACAGTGAGCACACAAAACATGAGTTTCCTAAGAACAGCAGTCATGCACCTGTTAGATATCTTTCCCTTGTTTTTCACCTCCTCTTTTAGCATCTCCCTACTGTCCAACCATCCGATTATGGTGAAAGCTTTGGCACAATGACCTGAGAAACTTTTCAGTGAGACTCCAGTCGTAGGAGTATGTTTGTGTGAGTGCACGCATACTGGTTTACTTTGGATAAAGGAGAAGGG